TTTATGTAAAGGTATAATTGTAAATTATTTAATAGGGTATGTAAAAATTTAACTTTTCCATTTAAAGTTTTTTATATGTAAAATTACAATGGCCCCCCATTTTTAACAAGATTTTATTCGACTCGGGTTCGAAAATAGGGTATGTGCAGGTTCCAAGTAGGTTCCAGCCGGGGGTACCTGCTACAGGTTTTTTTTCAGGTGTCGATTTTGGTTCCAGTTTGGTTCCTCCACATATAGGAATCAGAACGGAACTGCATAATGTCGGTTCCAAAAAAAATGGAACCAAACCTGCCGTCACACGGGTCGGTTCTAGGTAGGTTCCAGTTTGATTCTATCCGTAGGTTCTGATTCTACCTGCTACCTGTTGCTCACCCGCGCACAGCAATGTGGAGAATTAAATTATGGAAAATCTTTTGTACAACATTAAGTGGCTTTCAGAGGAGGGATCCCCATCCCCCACTCTGTTTATGTTGTGGTATAGATTTGAAGAAGGACCTACTAGTTAATGAGCTAAATTCCTGGACTCTTCAATAAGATTTTGTTAATAATGGAGTTGGAGGGATCGGAAAACAATCACAATCAGCCCTTAATGTAATTCGAGGCACATACGATCGTAATTACGAATGATCGTTTAATGAATATAATCCATGAGATATGATATAATAACAAAAATCCTCATAGTTTTATAATAAGAGCATCCCCTGTTCATGATTAATCATTAGTGAGTCGTTAAAAATTACATATTATTAGTAATATTCCTCTTTATTATGATTTTAACATCTAAAATTTATGTAGATAGAATGAGAAATAAAAGTAATTATGTAGTTTGAATAGGTCATCTATAAAACCTCTTATAGTCATAATGTTGGGATCAAACTAATTTATTACTATAAGTAGGTTAGAACTTAATTAAATGGTAGTTGCAAAAAACTATTTTGATTTCTTATTGTATAATTCATGTTGTAGTATGTATTAGGACTTCAATTAATGTTTTAGAGTATTAGGATTGCTTTTAATTTTAACTATTCTGTTTCTTATATTATAATTTATGTTTAATAGATTGGATTTACTATTTTACTTTATATTACTGATTTCCTATTTTAAATCAGTTTTGATAGTACTAGGATTCAATTCATGTTTTAGTATTTGTAGGATTTCAATATTGTTTTAGTAGTAGCATTAGGATTTCTCATTTACTCTACTAGTAGAATTATGATTAGCCTACTGATAAATAGGGTGTCTTTTCAACTTATTCAATCAGTTTTTAATAAAATTTTCCACCAATTCTAGTGATACCGTTCTTTCCTCTAGCAAATCAATCATGCACCCAAAGTTAATACATGAAACTCATTGACCGAAGTGTTCGTGTTGAGTGTATGCAAAATGAAAGAATCAAACCCTAGTTGGAAGCAGAAAGATCTTGTGAAGGGTTTAGAATAATCTGGTCTTAAGGATCACAGCAGCAATATCAAGACACTCAAAACGATCAGCTGACCTTCTTTAAGAGAGAAGGATTGTTGAACAAACACAAAACATTCAAAGATGGTAAAGTACCAGCAATGGAGTCTGCCTCTCTGAATGGTTTGAGGCCACAGAGCAGTCAATATGAATGGGTGAATTTAAAGAGAAAGAGGATATTTTCTAAGGAAAACTGATCCCCAAGCTACCTTGTTTGGATTTTCAAATGGTGGTGAGAAAAGTTCAAGCAACGACATGTATTCATTCCTTCCTCATTTTGAGAAAAGTGGTTCAAAATATGGAGGAAATGAAGCTAGTTTGTCATCAATAAGAGAGGAATAGACAAAGGGCTGGAAAGGACATTATAAATGCATGAAACTGGCTTATTTTCATCGAATAGAAGCCGATAACTCTCTGGCAACAAAGCAGTTGGAGGGCCGAAAGGCAAAACAAGAGAGGATGTACAATGTTTGTGTGCAACGGCGACGGCTATGACAAACTTCCACTTGGGTCATCGGTAAGTTTCTAATCCAACGATGCTTTAAAATGTTAACCATGACTATCAATTGCAAGTATCGAGCGAATTCAAATGCATAGATGACTCTTTGTTTTTAGGAATTGCTTAAGTGGTTTGATAGCGTTTGAGTAGACATGTCTGTCTGCTAATTGGATAATTGTACATACTATGGCAAAAAAGGAGAATCTCCCCCCACTTCATCACACAACTGTTCTGTTCTACACCAGCTAGACTTCCAATCCACCCATGTGATGCAGGCATTATTAGAAATTTAAAGGTTATTATCGGCAGCGCTTAATCGCTGCTTTTGAACGGATAGAAGTTCATTATTGGAACCAGAAAGATAAGTATCCTGGTGGAATTGTAAATGCAGTTGCTGCATGGTCAATTGAATGTATGAGCCACAGGACCAATATCAATGTTTAGCATGCAAAATTAGGACCCCCGATGTCGATGTAGAATGCAAGTTACAAATTGAAGTGGATATGAAGAGAATAGAAAAGTCATTGTAAAATTGAAGTGATCAGATTCGACAACTTACTACACTAATAACGATATTATGTGCTTCCTGCGATCATTCAAATGGAGCAACAAGCGTATATGTTTTAATGAAGAAGACATCATGCTGTGCAATTAGGACAAGAGAGAAATGAAATAATTCTGAGGAGAGTGACGGAAATGCAAAAAGTTTCATGCCATGAAGCTCAAAGATGCTGAAAAGCTAGAAATATTTTGGCTTCAACAGAAGATGTCCATGCTAGCGAATATTATATACCGCAAGTTGAGAGATTGGTAACACCTTAAAGCATAAATAATGTCGTAAACAACTTTAGATAAATTTTTGTTCATCATAAACCTTTATGTAAATAACATATTTTATTTTTTTTTTGCATATAAAAAATAATTATTACTATGTGGAGGCAACTTCCTTTAAGACGGGAATTAAAAAAATTAAACTTATTACAATATGAAAGTTTGTTTCTTATTTATACTATCCAATTAGAAATATATTTTTTATGATATGTACAGTTTATCCTATATAGAGTAGCACTATAGAGAGATTTTAATATTTACTTCGGAAATCTTGGGAGAATGAATTTTGTAACTTCTAACATATACAAAATATTGTAGGTGAATTATAAACCCTCAAACATTTCGTGATTTAAAATAAACCGTGGTTTCTAAAATGGGACTAACTTCATTTCATTAGTTTCGCAGTTTGAAAGGTAGATAGATAGATAGTATTTGATTTTCAATTTGTGTCTCCAAAGGGAATTTTTTAAATAAAAACTCAATGGATATATATTTCTTCCCCCCCCCCCCCCACCCCCCCCCCCCCCTTTTTTTTGTGTGTGTGTAACCCAAGGTGTTTAGGCAGCTTACGCAGCACCGTAACTAATCTTCGAGGTCCATTAAACACTCTATAAGCCAAAGAATAAGAACACAACAATGTTATCGTGGTAGGTGGTCCAAGATTGAATCCGAAAACTCAAGGAAGCGAACAAACGCCTGATCGCTTAGGTCAATCTCACAGGGTTTTTTCTCGTCTTTTCCCTTATCCTTGTCCCTTTTTCCTTCCCCCACCAAATTTTTCTGAGAGATCTACACATTCGAAATATGTGAAGTGGATCTGGTCTCAGTAGCTTCGAAGAGGTTGATTTGGGCATTACACGACTACGATGAGGGCATTATGGCGTGCGCGGACTTGAACAAGCTATAAAGGTCCTAATATGTGGTTGCCAAGCGTTGGAATACGGCCTTAGTGGAAGCTTTGGCGTCGATTATGGGTTTTCACAGGGTAAAAGTTTATTTTAAAATTTAAAGTATTGCATTAACTATTTTTCGCTACAATTTAATTTTTTTTTTTTATAGAAGTCATTGAGGATGGGTAATTTCTCTATGATGTTATTGCCAGCTTGAACTGGGAAAGATGGATAGTGTTACCTGGCTTTTTGCTTGAAAAAACAAGAGCAATAGGTTTCTGTGGTGGGTCAAAGGTGAAGAGGAGATTATTAAAGCCTATATAGTGGGTTTGTGTTGTCAAATTGAAACAATTAGCGATAAAGATAAAGTGTGCATGCAGGAAAAGAAACAGATACCTTTTTGACTCTTACAAGGCTTCTCTGTAATAATAAAGATATTGTAATTTAGTTTCTGTATTTTTTAATATTTATGTATGTTAAAGTTAATATACCACATGGCTTTCTTTTCGAAAGAGAGATTACAATCTATCTGAAAAAGATTGAAAAGCTTACATTATATATGCATGCATGATTCACATTATGGAACATAACTAGCTTCAAGCTCAAGTTAATTTACTGGGTCCAATACCAAAAATCTTGGCCACTAATCACTTTATATTATGCTTTCTTCTTTTTCTTTTATTTATTTTTTTTTTTTTTGGGGTAATCGAGGTGTTCGGACTAGCTTACGCGTACCTCAACTCATCCACTAGGGTCTATTAAACACCCTACAAGCTCAAAGGACTAGGTAAGCAAAAAAGGGTCCATTGAATATCATATAAACCCAAATGACCAAGTAAGCCGAAATGTTATTTATATTATCCTTTTTTTTTTGGTAACAGGGGTATCCGGCTAACTTGCACACATCTCAACTAATCCCGTAAGGTCTATTGAACACCCTACAAACTCAAAAGAGCAGATAAGTCACATTGTTATTATAGTAAATGGCCTCAAGGGTTAACTTAGAAACTCAAAAAATGGAGCAAATCTTTTTAACTGACAAACCAACTCCTTCAGTTATATTATCTTTTTTTTTTAATATATTATTCAGTCACAAATTTTTAAATATACCAAAAATCTTCTTTTTTATCTTTATCTTTATTTTTTTATCTTTTTATTTTTTTAATTTTTTAATTTTTTTTTTCCAATTGCACAGTAACTAAGATTGTAGAATAAAAATGATACTCGCTAGTACTTGGCAGCTGCTACTTCAAATCAATATTGTAATTCTTCTTCTTCTTCATCTTCGTAGCTCTTTAATTTAAAGTCTAGTAAGAGCAGTAATGGGTTCACCAATGCCGAAAAATGATATAAATTATGATATTAAGAAAAAATTGTTCAGATTTGCCATGAAAAGTAACTGGGACGACGTTATTAACATATACCAGAGTCATCCAAATGTTCACATGGAGAAGATCACCAAGTCAGAGCAGACAGCATTACACATCGCTGTTTCTGATGTCCAAGAACAAAAGGTTGCAAAGCTTGTGGATATTATCATTAAACACCCAACCAAAACGGATGAATCAACAATAGCTGATCATCATAAGACTACAGCTTCAAAAATAGACAAGGCTGAAGCAAGATTTCCAGCATTGGCAGTTGAAGATGACAGAGGGAACACCCCTCTTCATATTGCAGCTTCGCTGGGGAGTGCAAAGATGTGCGAATGCATAGCTTGGGCGAACAAGGACTCATCATTAGAGTTGATTGGTGCTCGTAACCATGACGGTGAGACTCCTTTCTTCTTGGCTGCTCTTCATGGTCACAAAGACGCCTTCCTTCGACTCCATTCTATTATTATTTCCAATCCAAATAGCTCAGGCTATGAGTATTGTAGAAAAAAACGACGGCGATACAATTCTTCACTCTGCCATCTCTGGAGACTACTTCGGTATATACAGACCTATATATATATATATATATATATATATATATATATATATATATATATATATATATATATATTATATATATATAGATAAGATATATATATATATATATATGAATTGAATTGAATAATTCTATTCTGCCATGCAAATATTACTTATTCGACCTGATTTTATTTTATTATTGCTTTGATATGTAGATTTGGCATTTCAAATTATTCATTTGTATAAACGCTTGGCAAACTATGTCAACGAACCAGGATTGACCCCTCTTCATATCCTAGTGTTGATGCGTAATTTTGACACCAACCAAATACACGTGTGAAATGCTGAGCTGGCCCAGAAGACACACACGGGTGAAAGAATGAGTAAAAACAATAGGGAACAGCGTTTAAAGTGGTTCGGATGCTAAGAAAGCAAATCTTACGTCCACTGATTTTGTATTAATAGTAAAGGTCAGGTCGCGTTCAGCGGACTGACTTACAAATGATTATACAAGAGAGAGATTGCTATTTTTCTTTTGAGAGATTAGCTAATCCTTTAAATGAGAGAGGAGCTCTCAATTTATAGTGGGATGAATTAAGGTTATCATTACTAAATTTGTGAATTGGTGGGATTATCCGCGCAAATCATTCTTTATGTCCCATTGCCCACTTTCTAGAGTGATTTATGTGATTTGGTGCAGGGATTGGACACGTGGAATCACTATAGCTTCTGACTGGTCTGACACACACCCACTGTCTAACAGAAGCATGTCGCCCCTATCATTGTATGACGTGGCTACCTCAGCTAACTGGATGCGGGCCTAACTAAGCTCTGACTTTTTATCTGACTGGGTCTTGCGTCAGCTCTACTTTTTCAGGCATTCCCCTAGTTTTTAAGGTTCAAGGATCAAACCTTGAAAACTATAATTCATGCCGTGACAAGATGCCTTCGAGGAAACTTTGGTGATTCCGACCTATATGAAAAGAGGTTGAGACCGCGCTTGTGCGCGTGCGACCCGATAATATTTGCTTAAACATGAACGACCTGATCTTAGACCGTACCAGTGCTTTGATTTCGATTTTCCGAAGTTCACGGCCTGATTATACTTGGAATTCTCTTCTAGACAAGGGATTAGGTTGTTTCGGAACTAAATACTCATCGAGAGTCATGTCGCTTCGCGACCAATGGGGTAGAATGGAAGAGTCACGTTGCTTCGTGACTGACCAGATGAAGAGTGTTCTATGTAACGATCTCTTCAGACTTTACCTGTTGCATTTTCGTAACTGATACATTTAATGAAACGCCTTCTGCTCTAACAGGCATGTCCTGTGCACAATTAATGCCAGCCATGCGCATTAAATGCGTGACATGCTGAAACGATATACTCCATTAGAGCATTAAATGCAGATTGGGGCGCATTTAATGCGGCAGGAGAATCGTGCCATCGTTTGGGTTTTTCAACGGAGAAGGACGATGATTTGGTTTTCTTGGAGCGTGACGGTCACCCGTTCCTATGGATGAGCGACACGTGGTCGCGATCAACAGGGAGGAACATTTTTTCACCCAAACGTCATTTGATTTCAGGAAAACCAAGTGCCAGTTCTTTTGCTATAAAACCCAGGTTCGTTTCAGGCAATGTTAACACACTCATCTTTTCAGAGAGAGCAAGAGACTTTTGCAAACTTGGATTCTTTGCCTACCAAGCCAGCGCGTACCTGATATTTGAAGCAGAAGGATCCATCTTCATACTCCAAGAGGTAAGAAACATTTTTTGTTTTTATTTCTCACTCCCAGTAGTTGATAAATGATTGGTTTTCCAGTAGTTGATCGGAGACGAAATGTTCTTACTGGGTTCGAGCCATGAATGGCAGCTCGAATCATTCTGTTAGGGTTTTTCTGGGATTTAGGAGGGGAAGTGTTTGCTTTCTTCCACATCATCGTACGAAATGGTGTACGAGGGCTAAAAAGATGCCCTGCTTGTCACTTTTGCAGACTGCAGTAGAATGGACCCCTCAACGACCAGATCCGAAGAAGGGACCAGTTCGTCCACGCAGGATGTTCCTGTGAGTCCCACCCAAGAGATCTTCTCGGTACTTACTGAGGATGAGCTCGATAGGGTGATAAACCAATACAGTATCTGCGAGGATGTTTTTTGTGATAAGACGCTCACAGCTCGGCATCCGTCACGTGGGTTGGCCGCGATCTCCAAGGAAATCTTCAAGGGTGGGGGCTTGATCCCTTTCCACCCTTTTGTCAGGTTGGTCTTGGATCATTTTGAGATCGCACCGATGTAACTCATGCCAAACGCGCACATGATTGCGGTTGCCATGTACATCACATGTCACGAGAACTGGTTGGGCAAGCTAACCGTAGTAGAACTCAGTTTCTCGTACATCCTAAAAAAGAGCAAGGACAAGGACTTCTACTACTTGTCCAAGCGACCTACTATCGTAGTAGGGATACACAGTTACCCTAGCAACGCGGGGGCTTATGAGACGAAGTTCTTCTTTTTTCGTTACGATGGCCTCTACCGCTTCCAGGACCCAAGTAGGTTTTTTTTCCCTTAACGAGCTCATTGACTTTGTTTTTCTTACTAACGAACTATTTATTTTTCTGACAGTTAACAAAACAACCAGTTTGGAGCTGCTCGCAGATCTAGATAGAATCGTAGCCTTCCGTTTCTTGTTCGAAGTGAGCCACGATGCAAAGCTGCTCGTGACAACCGCGAATCTGTGGAGGTACGGCTTCTTCAACGTAGACGCGACCTTAGAGCCTCCATCGAGTAAGTTACATTAACTGGATCCTTTTTTATTGCGCAGTGAACTTTTTTTTTTTTTTTTTTTTTTACTAACAACGTTCGTATGCAGCAACCAAGCCGAAGGGGCAACATCGGGGTCTGCGCATCCTACTGAGGCTCCCTAGCCTTGGGCGGGCTCCTTGATCCAACCTACGGGTGCTTCCCAGCCCTCGACTGCTCGTCCGAAGCAAAAGACAATGGCTCAGCGACCCAGGAAGATGCGACAAATTTGAGTCGAAGAGTCAGAGTCTGAACTGGAGGATCTAGGCGTTCAGCCCGGGAGGTCATAGCCAAGCATTCCCAATGCTTCGAGAGCATCCCGAGCAAGGCAAAGCAAGGTCACAAGCACTAGAAAAAGGTCGGGTAAGGAGCCGGTGGGCGACACTCCTGTCGGGGGTACTGGCAAGGATACTCTAGTGTTGGACTCGATGGGACAACTACCAAATCATTTGCAGTTGGCAGTCTTTGCCTTGCTGGAGTGCGAACTCGCGGAAGTATTCGAGTTCATGGGTTCTGACCATGTGGACCTGATGTCCACATCAATCCAGCACATAGGCAAGGTAAAACGAATTGTTCTCAATGAGGACTGCCTTTTTGTTCTTAGTAGGAAACTGACATTCTTCTTGTTCGCAGACTCTGTTCTCCATGCAACTATCCCTGCAAAAGGTTCGGCTAGGAGCTACTGCGGGAGAGGTCGCACTGAAGGAAAAGAATACGAAGCTTAAACGGGACTTGGAAGCCGTCGAAATAGAAAAAAGGCTATCCACTAAATCGATGGTCCGGTACCTGAATGAAAGGGATGCGGCTCTTCGCACGGTGGATTTTCAAAAGGCCGAGCTTGAGAAGCAAGGGGAGGAGATAAAGGAACTCCAGAGAACTATAACCAGGCTCTCCAGAGAAGTCGACGAGAAAGATCAGGAGCTCAAAACGACCTCTCAGCGGGCTTTACGAGTAGAGCAGGAGAAGGAGGTCTCAGAGAAGCAAAGGCAGGCTCTTGAGGCCGAACTCCAAGCGAGTCAGGGAAAAATTACTTCGCTAACTGAAGAGATGCAGAACCAAGCAGAGGAGATCGAGGCAAAAGCTGCTGAATGGGCAATCGAGTCTATCTATGCCTTGCGACTGAAGAATCAGCAGATTGATATGTCCGACCTCTCGGAGGATTAGCGGGAAACTCTCATTTCCATGGCGCGGCGCGAGGATGAGGAAGCAGTAGAGGCTGCCCGAGGATTTGATCAAAGAGATGCTTAGGGACACGCCCTTAAGGAACCCACAACCGATCGGGCGGATGGCGACCAGCCATGAGATGACGAGGTCGATCCTCCAAGAGTCAAGAATCAGGGCCGATAATTGTAATTTGTTTTTGGTATCTTGTCTTGTTAGCTGTACTTATTAATGAAATACATCTTAATCTCTAGAGCACTTAATCTGTACCCTACGAGATCGCATTCTAACCATTTATAACATTAGAACAAGTCTATGCGAACATAATTATAATACGTCTATACGAGCAGAATTACATGAGGATTATTACAAAAGAACAGGATAATATACTTGTTATTTACATTTACGAAGATTGCGAAAAATAAAATCTTTACAAGGAAAAACTGAGTTCGGAATTACTGATAATATGGTCGGAGATGTTCAGCATTCCAAGCTCGGGGTACTTTTAAACCATTTAGCCTTTTGAGATGATAAGTCCCCGGTCTTATCACTTTGGCAATGCGGTAGGGGCCTTCCCAGTTCAGTCCTAAGACTCCCACACTTGATTCTCTGGTACTGGGAAGAACTTCCTTCAAAACAAGGTCGCTGACCCAGAAGTCTCTTCTCCTAACCTTAGAGTCGAAGAACCTCTTTGCGCGTTGCTGATAGGCTACTACCTTTAGCTGAGCCTTGCTGCGATGTTCTTCAATTAGGCCAAGACTTGTGCGCATAAACGCTTCATTGTCGGCTTTGTTGTACAGGTCCCTCCAAAGTGAACCGGTTCCTACCTCCACAGGGATCATCGCTTCGCAGCCATATGCTAGCGAAAAAGTGGTTTCTGAGGTAAAGGTTCTTGGAGTTGTCCTGTAGGCCTATAGAACTTCGGGGAGGTCGTCGGCCCAATTTCCCTTGGCTGCGCCAAGCTTTGCCTTCAGGGTGTGCTTGATGGTTTTGTTGACAGCTTCAACTTGACCATTTGCTTGCGGCTTTGCAACTAAGGCAAATTTTTTATGAATACCCAACTCGTCGCAAAACTGCTTGAACTCCTCATTGTCGAATTGTTTGCCATTGTCCGAGATAAGAGTATGAGGAATCCCATAGCAGCACATAATGTTCTTGAAGATGAAATCCTTGAGCTTTCTGGTCATGATCGCAGCTAACGATTCTACTTCGACCCACTTGGTGAAGTAATCCACCGCGACCACAACATACTTTACTCCCCTTTTACCAACTAGCATGGGATCGATGAGATCGATTCCCCACATGGAGAATAGCCAAGGGCTGGTCATGGTTATCAGCTGGTAGGAAGGAGCTCGTGGTATGTTTGTGAACTGCTGGCACTTGTCACACCTTTTGACAAAGTTGTAGGTGTCTTCTTGAATTAGGGGCCAGTAGTACCCTTGACAAACAACTTTGTCGGCAAGAGATCACGCGGTGGTGTGATTACCGCAGATCTCTTCATGTATCTCCCTCATGATGTAATTTGCCTCTTCGCTAGTTACACATCAGAGGAGAAGGGCGCTAAACCCTCGCCTATACATCTGGTCTCTGATGAGGGTGTAAAGAGCAGATTTTGTTCGTAGAGTCCTTGCCTCGACCTTGAGTTAGGCAAGGTCCCATCCCTGAGATACTGAATGATAGGGGTCATCCAGAAATCTGATTCTATTACATTCACAACCTGTTCGATTGGGCTGATACGGGGGGTCTCAATGAATCAAACAAGAATACTTTCTGGTGCATCTGAGTCCAATGACGAGGTTATCCTTGCCAAGGCATCTACCATAGAGTTGCTATCTCTAGGAATCTATGTGATCGCGAAGTGCTTGAACCGCTCGAGCGCGGCCTTAGACTTCTTCAGGTAGCTGATCATATTTTCTTCCTTGGCTTGGTACTTCCCCAAAATTCAGTTAACGACTAGCATGGAGTCGCTGTGGATACTGATTGCAGTTGCACCTATTTCTTTGGCCAATCGCAGTCCAGCGAGCAGAGCTTCATACTCGGCCTCATTATTGGTTGCCTTAAAACCGAACCGGAGAATGCCATGAATGCAAGCCCCTTCGGGACTCAAAAAGAGAAGACCTATCCCGACCCTCTTTCTGTTTGATGATCCATTGACTTAGAGGCTTTAGGTCGATAGATTTTGAGCAGTTTCCTAAATGACTTCACTAGGCTGTTGCTCCGACTCATCCGTTGCATGATATGAGAATTCGGATATGAAGTTGGCAACAGCCTGCCCTTTGATAGTTGATTTCGGTCTGTACTTCAGATCGAACTGACTTAATTCCATGGCCCATTTAAGTAATTTACCTGATGCCTCCGGCTTCTAGAGGACCTGCCTGAGCGGGTAATTAGTCATTATGTGGATCGTATGGGCGTAGAAGTAAGGTTGCAACTTGCTGGAAGCGATTAGCAGGGCATAGGCTAACCGTTCCATTTCCGGATACCACATCTCAGCATCCAACAGATATTTGCTCGCGTAATACATCGACCATTGGACCTTATCCTCTTCCTGAATTATGGCTGCACTGACCGCGAACTGAGAGATGGATAGATATAGGAGGAGGATCTCTTGCGGGAGAGGTTTGGACAGAAGAGGTATCTTCCCGAGGTGTTCTTTAATACTCTGGAATGCCTGTTCACACTTGGGAGTCCACTCAAACTTTTTATTGGCCCTTAGAACATTGAAGAATAGCAAGCAGCGATTTGTTGCCCTTGATATGAAATGACTTAGTGTCACTATTCACCCATTGAGGCTCATGACCTGCTTTTTGTTGGTCGGGCTCTTCATATCGAGGAAAGCTTGGATTTTCTCGGGGTTGATCTCTATTCCCCGTTGGTTAACCATGTATCCTAGGAATTTTCCCGAAGATACTCCGAATGAGCACTTGAGGGGGTTTAGCTTCATTTTGTATTATCGGAGGATGTCGAACATCTCAGCGAGATGCGCTATGTAATCTGAAGCGACATATGACTTGACCAAAATGTCATCTATATAGACCTCCATCGATTTTCTGATCTGTTTGGAAAATATTCGATTAACCAACTGCTAGTAAGTTGCGCCAGCGTTCTTAAGGCCGAAGGGCATAACTCTATAGCAGTACAGCCCCCGATCTATAACAAAGGATGTATGCTCTTCTTCCGGCTCATACATCGAAATTTGATTGTATCCCGACTACGCATCCATAAAACTTAGCAGCTCGTGTCCAGAGGTGGCATCCTTGAGCTGGTCGATTCTAGGTAGGGGAAAGCTATCTTTTAGGCATGCTTTATTGAGGTCGGTAAAGTCGACGCAGGTCCACCATTTGTCGTTAGGCTTCTTTACTAGAACCCGGTTGGCAACCCAGGTTGGATAGAGCGCTTCTCGGATAAACCTATTTCGAAGGAGATTATCTACCTCAAGCTTCAAGGCGACACAACGTTTTGGATCCATCGCTCTCTGCTTTTGGCAAACCGGCTTAGGTTCACTATCGATGTTCAATGCATGGCAAATAATATCTGGGCTGATCCTGACCATGTCTGCATGTGACCATGCGAACACACCGATATTCTCTCTGAGAAAGCTGGTCAGTTCGGTGGCCAGTTGGGGGTTGAGATTGCTCCCAATCCTTAACACTCTGCTCGGCTCACTCTGGTCGACCGATACTTTCGACACATCCTCAACTGGCCCTAGGGGTGGAAAAAACTGGTTAACCAGTTTGAACCGAACCGATTTTCGGTTTCCAAATAAAATTGAACCGAAACCGGTCCGGTTTTGATTATAAACCGGTTAATTATAATGGGCTGGATTTCAAGATTTTTTTCGGCCCAATTTTGTCAAACCCTCCATTCGGCCCATTTTTTTTATTTTTCTAGGTTTTTATTACACTTGAATAATTTGAATTCGTTTTATTGTTTTAATAAGGCCATTATCAATCTGTTATTTTCATTAAGAAAATGTTGAAATATCACCCAATAAATCATTTCCATGTTTTACCTCTAAAGTGTAGCAGTATTCGACTTTTCTTATCATATGAATTTCGGCATCCTGTTTCTCTCAATGAAAGAGTTATAATTCTTGTTCTTCCGCTGAACAGCTTTGTAGATACAAGAACAATTCAATAGTGCCATGACAGAGGAGACTGAAAGCTCAAAATATTGTCGTATATAATTCAACGAAGTAATTATCCTAACAAACAAGTTTTATATTTACAACACAAAACTCTAGAAATAAATTTAAAAAAAAAAAAAATCCAACGGAACTGTTCTGTAGACCTAAGTGGAGATTAACAAAATGCAGATATAGGGTTCTATACGAAAGGCGATGATTACCACTTCAAATGAAGGGCGAGGTTTAACAAAGCTTCAACTTGGTGTATGGTTCGTTGCTTCAACCTAACTGCAATGGATACGGGATCAAACCCTTGAGAATTTCGCGCTTCACTTTGCTCCAGCTCTACCTCTTTTATTAATGCATCAACCTCTCTGATAAAATCTACCCTCAAGAGAGGGTCATGTCCTTCCAATGGTGGTCATAATGGCCCATGATGGCATTTTGGTGACTGAGAGAAAGAAGAATGGTGAGTTGGTGACTACAAGTCTGCAATTGCGGCTGCCTAGTGTCTGCCGTCTGCCATCTGGTGAGCAAAGATCGGTGACTGCACTAACTGGTGAGCTTTTCGGTGACTGAGAGAAAGAAGAATGGTGAGTTGGTGACTGCAAATCTGCAACTGTGGCTTCCTAGTGTCTGCCATCTACCGTCTGGTGAGCAAAGATCGGTGACTATTGAGCTTTCCAGTGACTGAGAGAAAGAAGAATGGTGAGTGGTAACTGAAAGTTTGCAACTGCCTGGTGGAGTGGTGTGACAGTGTCTGCCGTCTGGTGAGCAAAGATTAGCGGCATGAGAACTAAGAAATTTATGATTTTGTGTGGCTGAGGGCCTGAGGCAATGAGGCTTGACCGCGTGAGAAGTGAGAACAAAGAGTCTG